ATTTATGTTTTCTCTGCATAACCTGTTCTATATTCTATTTTTTTTGCTTACCATTTTTATGCTTCACTTTTCCTCAACTACTTTGGAAGTTATATTTTCTATATCTGTGATTTTCATGGCTTTTATAGAAATTTTAACTTGCTTGCCAATTTTTCTCGCATTCTTCTTATCCTCACTAACAACACAGGCATTTAAACCACCCTAATTCCAGCCACTCCCTTACAGCTCCTATGCATATATATAGCTTTAATAACTCACCAGGTATTAGTTTTGTGTTATTTCCCATTGATATTTCTTTGGGTTTAGTCATATATTTATCATTTTTAGCAAATTTTTCCTTTATCTCCTTAGACCTGAAGTATATCTTTTATAACTTACTTGATGACAGTCTGTCTCTTAGTCACTTTCTTGTTCCTGAGACATAATACCTGCCACAATTTAAAGAAGGAGAAACTCATTTTGGATTAAATTTTTCAGTACGTGGTCAGCCGTCTCCAAAGCAGAAACAGGATGGCAGAGTGTCTAGTGGAGGAAAATCTGCTCATGTTATGGGGGCCAGGAAGCAAAGAGAGAAGGGAGAAGCCAGGGAGGGAGATAAAACCCTTCAGGTTATGCCGTCAGTGACCTGCCTCTTCCTACTGGAAAATACCTCCCAACAGCAAGTCAGCTGCATTGTCCCTATGATTCAATCACCTGCCAAAAGCCCCAACTATGGACTCATTAGGTCTGTGAGAGACACTCTTAATTGAATTTTAACAATCTGCCAGTAGCAAGTTCTCACAATCTTTTGTATGTCTGAAGATGACTAGATTTTTTTTACCTTGGCTTTTGAAGGGTAGTATTACTGGGTACATATACAGGTTAACAATTGTATCCTATCAGAATAATGAAGATATTATTTCATGATCTCCTGAACTCCATTGTTATTGTTGAAAAGTCAGCTGTTATTCTAATTGTGCCTGCTTTTTAGGTAGTTTACCTTTTTTTTTTTCTTACTGGTATAAGATTTTCTTTTTGTCTTTTGTATTCTGAAGTTCTACTACACAAAATGTATAAGTGTGGATACTTTTATTATTCATTAGGAAACTTTTAATCCACTATCTATTCAAATACTGTTTATGCTTGGGTTCCTCTTTTTATCATTTCCATTTGGAGTTTTGAGATTCTGTATTAAACTCTCTCTCTATTCTACATGTCTCACAGCCTTTTTTTTTCTTTTCCTTTCCTTTTGTTAGATGTTTGATTTTGGATAATTTCCTTAGATCTGTTTTCTAACTTACTATATCAGATTGTTTTCATAGTGTCTTGTTTTCATTCATATTTCTAACCCTCTCTCTTATTAATTAGACATATTATTCAACCGTCAACATACTTTATATCCTGTGTGCGACTGATTCAACACTCAAACACTTTGTGGATCAAATTTGACTGTTCATGGCTTTTGCAGTGCTTCATCATGATACTTTCTCTCTCTTGTTTCTTTTATGACCTTTTAAAAACTGAACTCATATCCTTTGGCACTCTAACCATGAAAAGTTTTTGAGCTGGCTAAAGGGGTCATTCTCCAGAGAGAGAATTTATTCCTTTTTTTTGGATACCAGGAATCAAACTTAGGACCTTGGTCTTGCTGGCAGGCGCTGTGCCGCTGAGCCCTGAGAATTTATTCTTTATATGGTGAAAAGAAGCCTTTAGAGTCCAGCTTTATGGAAAGTGAGGCAAGCCCACTTTCTAGACAGTTGAGAAGATGGCAAGTTCAATATTACTAAATTCTTTAAATACAATAGAATCATCTGCATCACTAAATATTTGGTCTCTGTATTTGTTTCCTTGGGATGTTAGAAAAAAACTATCACAAACTAGACTGTTAACTCAGCAGAAATGCATTCTCTGACAATTGTGGAGGCTAGAAGGCTGCAGTCCAGGTGTGGTGCCTACAGGGCCATGTTCCCTCCAAAGTCTCAAGGGAAGGCCCCTTCTCCACCTCTTCCAGATTCTTAGGCATTCTTAGGCTTGCCTAAGCATTATAACCCCAACCTCTCTCTCCATATTCACACAGTCTTCTCTCCATGTCTGTGTCCAAATTTTCCTTTTCTTATAAGGGCAGCAGTCGGGGCTGAGGATCTAGCTCAGCGGCACAGTGCCTGCCTGGCAAGTGCGAGGTCATGAGTTCAATTCCCGGTACCAGAAAAAAAAAAAAAAAAAAAACAAAATAAAAAACTAAAAAAAAAGGACAGCAGTCACACTGGGTTGGGCCCATCTTAATACAGTGTGACTTCATCTTAACCTGATTGCATCTGCAAAGACCCTATTTCCAAATAAGGTCATAATCTCTGCTAAAAGATAGTAAGACTTCAACATATTTTGGGGGACTCAACTCAACCTACAACCTGTTTCTGACAATTTTTTACTTCCTTGGCAGTTCTTGAGTACTTTTTAATACATATTTTAGTACTTTTATAGTCATGAGGTATATAATCTTTCTGTTTTCTATTCAATGTCACTTCTTATTTCCCACTTATTGCGCTCTACCACAGATGCTCCTTCCCTTTTCCCATTGCCCTGGGTACTTATAAGTTAGCGGGGTGGAGGGGAATTTTATTAGAATTGAGTGTAAGATGAGGGTAAGGCTTTAAATAATGACTCAATAGACATGATAGAAAGAAATAGAAGGAAAACTGCATGGATGAAATACCTTCGAGGGGATGCTCAAAGGACTTCTGTCCTTAGAGTAATCACTGTGGTATGTTTATGGACTCATAACCATTGTGATTGAATCCTTTATCTTTTACAAGTTGCATGCCCTTAGGAACATAAGTTTTCAGTTTTCTCAACTGAAAACAAAGGGAAGTATCATAATAATACCCATTGTTATAGTGTTTTGTAGATGAGTAATATAAAATGCCCAACACAGCTCCAGCACAGAGTGGTCTCTTAATAACAGTGAAAACAACTCTGTTTCTATAAGGGCATTGAATATCTGGCTTTAGAAAAGTGAGTAGTGAAAAACTGTGCTTTTTACTTTTATGCACAATACTGAGGGACAATTGTTTTATAGATGAGAAAACTGAGGCACAGAGAACATTAAAGAAAAACACTAATGAACTAACAACCACCCAAATGAGGGCACCTGTTTGGGAGATGATGAGCAGTTCTGCAGCCCTTCAAGGGGAACTGAAATCAGGTTGACCAGTCCCCACCTTGTGTGTGCTCAGTTCTGCCAGCTAATAGGGGGCTGGATCCTGCTTTAAAAGCCACGTTTCCTTGAACTCTAGTGACACTTTATCTCCAGCGAGCGGGAGGGAAGCAGTAGAAAGGAAAAAGTCAGACAACATTTTATACAGTATTTTAAACCCTGAACACGAAGCTATCTGAAGATATTTTAACATGTATTTGAGAGCCTCGCCTAGCCCCACACTCGAGAAGAGCTTTATAATTTAAGGAAGAAAAGCCAGAAATCACCACCACTCTGTGATTGACTCACACCCACACTGGAAGCAGAGTTCACAAATCTAATTCCTTTCTCCATTCCTGGACATTTTTACCCAGAGAACACAAGTGACCAGAGGCGGTGCTGCCCGCTCAGCCAATTCCCTGACAGCAGCTCATGGCAAAACATATTGCATTTGGGGGGCAAGCATTTATCCAGGAGCAGTGCTAAAACGAGACAGTGAGGACTCCAGCAGTGAATCAATGACTGGTGGAGGGAGAGCTGGAAAAATGAGGGTGATTATGCAGGCACTGTCCTCCATGAATACATTAGCCCCCAATGAGCCCATGCATTTTCCCTGCCTCCACAGCAATTTCTTGAAGTTCCAGTGAATATAGGTGCCAGAAAGTGTTTTTTAAGCTCAGCTTCAGACAGACTGTTCCTGTAGTCCTCAAAGCCTTAGTATTAAGCTTGGGGAATGCTGGGTCCTACACAGCACCTGCTAGGTCCCATAGGTATTGTAAGAGGCTCACTCAGTCCAGAGAGGCAAAAGTGGAATCATTAGGTAGAACCAGCCAGATGGTAGAGGAGGTCGGCTTGGGAGTATAAACAGGCTGGTACAAGAAGAAAATGTCAGACGAGAACCATGGACACTAGGAGGTCCTCTTCAAGGACTGGCCAGCCTATAGTGTGTGGGTGCCAGGCTGTTAATGATTCCATGGGGAAGACAGTGGGAACCCCATGGGGCCATGCCACAGCTCAAACACCGGGCTTACCAGGGACACTCCCCGGGTGTGGGAAAGATCCTTTCTTGTATCCATCATCCCATTCCTGCCCGATACCAGGGCACCTAACGGTTCCACTGAAGAAGGGGAGGTATGTGTTCTGGGTTTATCTCTTCACTGGCAGGGGTAAGGAGCACAAAGCCTAGGACCTGATCCTGTAAGGTGAGAAACAAAACAGTGCCTCTCACAAAGCCACACACAAGCCTGAAGCAGGATGTGCAGCGACCTCAGAAAAGGGTGTGAGGCAGTAATAGGCCCGGGGCTCTGGCCAGCTCTAAGTCTGGTCAGAAAACCAGCATGGAGTCAGCTTGGCTGCATTTTGCTGTCTACACTGCATGAGTTTATCTCCCTGGAGCGCTCTCTTGACATAATCTGTGAAAAGTTCTATGGGCCACTGTAGAGATGGAGGGTGCCCAAGTGAGGGGAGGTGACTCTGAGGAGCACTGCTGTCTGCCACCCCTTGATGCCTACTGTCTTGCCTGACACACACCTTTGGCCACCCCGATGGGCTTATGTGGGTTTTAACAAAGAAGCTGTTCCCCTGAATTGGCAACTCACGTCTCCCCTCCCCCAGGCCAGCAAGCAAGTTTCAAAGTCCTCTTCCTCCTGCAAGTTCACAAGGCCCCACCCTGAGTCCGCTGCCTCGGGCCCCTGCCACACTTATGGGTGAGGGTTAAGGACTCAGAATCAGACTGTGACCTTTGACTTTAAGTCCTCTTTCTTTATGCTCAGACTCATTAACCCTTGTGCGAGCTGAGTTTGCTCTATTTGTGAGGAACCCCACTCACCCTAATCCCGAGCTCGACGTTTTCGCCTCCATAGACTTCCATGCCTTCGTCTAGCAGGCCGATCTCCTGGAAGTATTGGCGGTCCACGATGAAGCAGCCGATGAGGGCAGGACTCCTGTGGGGAAGCGGACATGGGTCAGTGGTGAGCACAGGGCTGTCTCCTCTTGAGGAGTAAGAGCTTCCTACCAGGTGCATGTGCTCTTCCTCACTCTGCTGCCAGAGCCCACCCATGTCTCCTCAGTTATCTAGCCATTCCTGGAAGGCTGGTTATTAGAGCAGCAGGTAGACAGCTCCTAATTCCCAGGACCAGCCCCATTCCCAGCAGGGCTTGTGTGTGTCCTAGCCCAGGGAAGTGCTCACCCTGCTCTCTAGACTGACTGTCTATAGCTCTCACTGCTTGACCCTGACCTCTGAGTTGCACAGCCTAACTGTTTCTGCCTGGGCACCCATGCCAGCATGCCCACCCTCCCAGCTGGGGTTCTTCGTGCCAACTTCTGTCTGCTTAGAGAGAGTATCTGGGAGCAGGTGGTAAAGAGCTTTGGATAGCATGGAAAAGAGTCTGTAGATTTATCTGTAGACAGAGGGGCAATCACGAGGAATGCCAGGGATGCAGGGCCCTGGTGTGAACGATCTGTTTAAAGAATTACTGTGGATACTGGGGTGCTGAGGAACCAATATGGACATGGGGGTGGGGAGGAAGAAGTTACTCTCAGAAGAAAGCAGCATTCCTGCTGGGAAACTGCTCTTTGCTATCTGTGGAACACCAGGGGGACAGGGGACATGTCCCACAGACCAAAGTGCTTAGGTAGACACCCAGGTTTGGAGTCAACAGCTTTCTTCCCTCAGGACTCTGAGCTTCTGCAGATACCCAGGAAAAAAATCAGTATAGCTCATGGGGCAGCTTCTCTGTGGACAGCAAATGACTTTGAATTATTCTACGGCACACTGCTACCCTTTCTAGCCCTTGCCTGACATTTCATCAACCCATGGCTGAAGGGTTTGGGGGGGGGTAGAGAAAAGGAGAAATGAAGAATCCTTAAGGATGAGGCACTGTCAATCACATGCAAATGCACCTGTCTTTGAAATTGGAAACTCATCACTGTAGAGAAAGGGCTATTTTGCAGGCTGTTTCCCTGGAGAGTGCTACTGCAGGAGGCTGCTTAGCACCCTGGCACCCTGGGGTCACTGTCAGTATTGCTTTCAAGTCACTGCACTTTATTGTAAATGGCTTCACCCTCATAGACTGCAGGAGTGCGGTTAACCCATGCTCCTAGAGTAAGCTGCGAGTTGGTTTCCCGTGGAGGACCCTGGACTTGGGCCTTTGAGGTGAGTGCTATGGGAATAATCCCATTTCTGGCTGTGTGTCTCTGAGAAGAGATCCTCTGCTTTTCTGAACCTGTGAATCCACTGAACATAGGATCAGCTATATCCTCACCTGGGCTCAGTTACATAAGGTAAAGCTACAGAAAGCCTCTGGGAAATAGCTGGCACTCAGAAGATCATTTAAAAAGATGTATTTGCTCATCAAATAAGCCCAGAGGATCCCTTTTCTAAATACAAGCTGGTCCATAAGAATGGGATGTCAGCTTCTCCTCTGCACTCATGAGTGTCAGACATGGCAGGGCACTCCATAACTGTTCCTAGAGTATGTGGGAAGGGGTTTGCTTCACCTGACCCACCCAGCTAGGGAAGGAACAGAATTTGGAACACAGACCACCCCAGGAGGTCTATTACTTATTACCCAGCTAGGGCATTAAGTGGATTGATCACCCTAAAAGTGTTACTGATTTATGCCCTCCATCATTCCTGAAAGGATTTAGAAATCCACATGTTTCCACATGAGAAAATGTGGAACACATTAAAAAAGTAAATTATGTCTGGAAAGATCTAAAAATTACATTAAATTGAGTGCCAGGTAGAAGGCATGTGAAAATTGAGGTTCTCTTTCATAGTTCTTAAAGTACATTCACAAATATGGCTCTGACCTTCTTGGTGGCCAAGGTGAAAATGAATACACACAGTCTTAGAAATGGAATGTACAGTTCTTATGTGAAAATATACTGATGGATTCCTTGAGGTGAACAAGGTTTTTTTGACAGGAAGTTGATTTGAAAGAAATTTATTATATGGGTCTTCTTAAAGGGATCCCTGGGGTACCTAGTGAACAAGCATCTCAAAGACATCCCTTTAGAATCCAGTAGAGGATATCACTGGGCTCTTTGTATAGCTTATACCATGTGTAGGTAAAATACTAAAGTACAGCTCCAAAGATAACAGAGCAAAGATACGTAAAATACATTTGTATAAATTACAATTTCTGCAGGGCTATTTACCTAGGAACAAAACCAGGAATGTTCTTCCAAAACTTTTTCAAAATGAAATTTCTGTCAATCAAGTTTCTGATAAAAATTGAGCAATGGAAGTTTGAGTTGGAGGTGACATCCACTAGCAAGATCCTGGAATGAAGCTTCACTGAGTAAGACCAGTTTGATGCATTTAGAGATGAGCAGAACAGAAACAGGTAATATCAATACAGTCTTCTAAAAGAATGTCCATTGCATGTGGCATATTTCCCTCTAATAGTATTTCATCAACTGAAGAGTAATGGGCCATACCAGCTCTGAGCTCAAAAGTAGCCAGGTAAAGGGATGATGACTAGCAAGAGTCTGGCTGACCTGAGTCTTAGTCTTGCTCTCCTCATCTTATAAAACAGGGATTATACAATGAGTTGTCACTAGGTTATAACAAAGATCCAATGAGACTATGTGTGTCAAAGGCCCTTGTTTATAGGAGGCTCCCAGCAAATATTCAATAACACAAAAGTGCAGCATAGACCTCACAGACAAGGTAACTGTTATGGTATGGATATGTGCCACACAAAGGTTCATGAGCTGAAGGCTTGGTTCTCAGTGTAACAGCATTCAGAGGTGCTAGATTTTTAGAGGTAAGGCCTAGTAGAAGGTGAGTAGGTCATGGGGCACCACACCCAGAAGAGATTAATGCAGTTCTGGCAGGATCAGATTAGTTCTTGAGAGAGCAGGTGGTCATAAAGCAAGGCACTTGAAACTTGACCCTTTCTACATGTGGCTGTTTTCTCTCTTGCTCCTGCCATGAGATGCCATCTGCCTTGTTATAATGCATTCAGAAGGCCTCTGTTAGCAGCTGACCAGGGAGGTCACTCAGTGTTGAACTTTCACCTTCTATTACTCTGAGCTAAATAAACATTTTTTCTTTTTAAATAAATTATACAGCCTTGGGTATTTTGTTACAGCAAACCAAACAGCAGAGGTAACCACAGGAAAGTTAAGCAAGTTCTCTTCCATTCTGGCTTAAACATGAATATCTTTTTACTTCTGGCAAGGAAAAATGTGATCTTAGGTAATAATCACCTACTTTCAGTTACATTTTTCATAATCTTTCTTATGTAACACAAAGCAACATCAATTTTAATCTCCTCTTGCATTCCAGGAACTGCCTCCTAGGACATCTTCCGGTGCTGCCTGTGTGTTTAACAGTCAAGGAGCACAGGCACCCACCTGTCATCAACACAGACAAAAATAAGGCTGGTGGGGACAGCTATGCAGGAGTCCTGACCTATAAAAGCAGAGGCTGCACCGGGGAATAATTGAGGGGTCCAGGAAGGCAGCAGAAAACACAGGAGGACTTGAGATCTTTGAAATGCAGTTTGATGCCACTTCTGTTTGATTCCTACAGGATAAAACTGGAACAGCATCAAGGAACACAAGTTCTGTGGGTCTGGCCTGGCCTCTCCATCTCTCTACCTCATTACTTGGTGCTTCTGGCTTACATTCCTCCTTCCAGTCCCTTTGAATCTGCTCCATGACCATGAATTTCACAATGGGTGTCCATTCCCAACCCTATCATCTCCTCCTACAAACAAGCTCAGATGCTAAGGTGCAATGAATTTTCCATTTTTCTGCTTGCCATCCACTCCACCTGCATGGTAAGGTAATTTTTCCATTCGAATTATTTTGTCTGTCTTCACCAGAATCCAGGCTTCTGGGGTTGGGAACCAAATCTTACAGCTGACACCAGCAGGCTTTCCTGAATGATGTGTCCAAATGAGGAACTCTGAGGCTGTGAGTGGATTCTGGGTGCCATGCTGACTCCTTCACAAAGCGTGTCTGGAGGCTGGGACAGTGACTGAAGATCATACTGAATTCCTTCCTTCCTTTCCTCCACCCTGCTATCCCTGGAGTTTGGAGAATAGGTTCTGGGCAAGGAGGGGAACCCTGTGTGGAGGCCAAGGCTGAGAGACCCAAAGGCAAGGATGCTGTACCTGATTGGGGCAGTGGAGTTCTCCAGCTTCCACCAGGCCTTGGGGGGATTTAAGTAGCGGCACCACAGCTCCCAGTCAAAGCCCTGTGCGGCCAGCGGGTACTCTTCTATCTCAAAGTTGTCATATTTAATGTTATCAAAGGATGGTGAGATGATCCGCTTCCGGTTCTCCTTTATGCGGGTGAGTACGGGTTCAGCCCTGTGCAGGAGGGAAGGAGAGAGGGGTTGACTGCTTCCAAGGTGGACAGCAACCAGGTTAGCATCTCCCGAAGCTCCATGTCTAGCAGAAGGAGGAAAGAGCACCCGGTCATTGCCAATGAGGGGGTCACAGCCTCTCACATCTTGAGGACTTCTGGGTTGGCAGGCAACCTGGCCACTCCTTCAGCACATCCAGAGCTGTGCTAAGCGACCCTGGTCAAGCCTGTCTGCTCGTTCTTTCTCCTTATACAACAAAAATCAACATATAAGGAAGAAAAAACCGAAGGAAGAGATTTGAAGCTCCAGAGGAGGCTTTCAACCTAGGATCTGATTTTGCTAAAATTCAGTGTATCAAGCTGGAGGAGACAGAGCATGCTGGCAGAGTGCATTCCCAAATATCTAAGGTGACAAGGTACCTCCAGGGCTCCCCGGGGAGCCAGGAGGTCCCTTTGGGCGCCATGGGAGTAATGTGTTTACAGACAGGAATGAGAAACTTTTCATTAATAATACATTTGCTGCATAATTGTTTATTCAAATCAGCTTGAAATAATAAGTGTCCCTCTCCTATCCTGGCCATTAATCCAGTGAAAATGCCTTTTAAATAGTCACAAATGGCAAGCAGGGACTTCAGCTATAAAAAATGGCTGTGTTGCTGACTTAATTTGGGCCGGTTATGCTGGAATCCAGCTCTGGCCATGTGCACACCCTGCAACTCTTACCGCCAAAGTGCCCTCCTCTCCCAGTACAAGAAAAAAAAACAAAAAACAAAAAATAAAGTGCCCTCCTCACCCAGCTCCCTGGAGGCAGAGGCTGGCACCATGGAACTAGGAGCAAGCAGAGCCCATGGCCATGAGACACATGGGAAAAAGTGGGTGGGGAGCTACTTGTCTCGGCTGCACAGTCATCCCCAGCACCTGTGTCTCTCATGACCAGGCAAAGCGACACACAGCGGGTGGCACTATACCCTGGGCTTGCAGAGACATCATTGTCACGTGCCTTATTACTTCTCAATGGCAGCCACGGAGGCCTCTGTCAGTTCATTTGCCCCACTCAGCCCTAGCAGCCCTAACCAGAGAAGAAAGGATTTGCTTTGAGACTCGCTTCTCTAGTAGGGAGAATCTGAGATTACGTGCTACCTCTGGCCTGGCATTTCCATGAGTCCAGGCAAGATCAAGTCACCACTGCACAAGGTGAGATACTTGCATCGCATCTGTCCCTGCTCTGCCTTCCCGGCCGTTGGAACTCTGTCCTTAGCTTGTAGAATCTCTCTGCTTTGGCGTTAGCGTGTACACCAACTCCTGGTCTCACCTCCCGGAAGACCATGTGCCCTATGTAACACACCTTAGGTGCTCTGCGCTGATCTGTCGACCTCCAGCTCTCCAGTCCTGTTGTTTGGGTCACTCATTCCCACATCTCACCTGTCCCTGGAATTCTCTCATAACATGCTTTATGCCCCCAAGCCAAAGCCCCTGGACCTCAGTGGAACCCCTCCTGCCCCTCTCCCCCGGCACTTACCAGCCCACGTTGAACTCCACGTGGGCATCGAAGAGTGCCACCACAGGGGCAGTGGCAGCCCGCCAGCCACTGACCCTGGAGCGAATGAGGCCTTCCTGCTTGCTGTGGCGCACGACTTTGATGAAGCCCGGCTTCTGGCTGTTCACCTTGTCCACGTACTCTGTCAGCTTCTCCTTCAGCTCCTCTGTCAGGGAGAAGATGCAGCCTCAGCACAGAGAGGGGCAGGGGGCAGAGGGGGTAATCACCATTGTTACATAGCTGACCCCACAAGAGAGGCTAGAGAACCCACCCCACTCCCTGGGTCTTCTTGGGTTCCCAGGAAGCCCGCAGAGCAAAGCTTCAAGATGAAAAAACAAAGAGGAAAATAACCTTCATCTTTCTAGCAGGTGGATGGAAGGAGCAGGTGCTACCGGGCTGCTGCCTGTGTCACTGAGCCTGGATCAGCTCATGGTGCCTCGGCTCTATCTCACCTGCCAGGGCCCTCAGCAGCAGCCCTGGATCCTCAGCATGTGACAGCACGGTGGCCATGTTCATCATGGCAGCTTGGATGAGGGTCTAGGACACCTCATGGTTGGTTGGGCAGAATTTTAAAAGTGGTTTTGAAGCAATGACTCAATCTTCTACCTCAAGAGACCATAAGGAATACGCTGAAGTCCAGTGTGTGTGTGTGTGTGTGTGTGTGTGTGTGTGTGTGTGTGTGTGTTACTAGGGATATAACCCAGGTGAGCTACATAAGACAGGGTCTCTCTAAGTCACTACGTTGCCCTGCCAGGCTGGTCTCGAATGTACAACTCTCGTGCCTCAGCCTCCTAAAATGTTGGGACTACAGGTATATGGCACCATGCTCGGTTCAAGTCTGGTATTAATTGGGCAATTCAATGACTCCATGTTCTTACTTCTTCTGATCTTCAAAGGCCAGGACTCCTGGCTTCCATTCATTAATCAGGTGGACTGTACCTCTTCTACATAATCACCGTTTAGAGTTGAGGACCCTCTGTAAGTCCTTCTTAAGGGCGTCTCTAGGTCAAGCATCTTTAGTTACCTTATATCTTCTTGTAATTCATGATTTCAAATTCTTTTATCAACATAACCTTCTCTCTGAATGTTAGTTTTTCTTGAAGGCTTTAAAGTTATGTACCCAGCAGTCAGCTTAATACATTTGATGTAAACTGTGCTACACAGAAGAGAGGAATCTCCTTAGTCTAGAATCTATACTGTTACCAATACAGTCTAAGGCCCCTTCAATTCTGCTTTCTTTTCACTCACATGAAGCTTGCTGGAAACATATACAAGTTCCTTTTACATGGTGTCACTAAGTCAGGCCTTCTTCCCATGTGTTCATGGATGCACATGTATGTGGGCACATGTGTGTGTACGTGTACATGTGCACTCTGTGAGCCGAAACGTAGGCTCTGACATTCATTCTTATTGAGCTCACTCTTTGAAAAAATTCACTTCATTCTTCTGGTTGTCAAAATGTTCTTATCCCCTCATTCTGTCAGTCAGCGTCTTTGTTATCTAACCCTTTCAGATCTCCAGCTTCTGCAAAGTGATGAACGTATGGCCTTTGTTGTCATTCAAGTCATCCTTTTAAACAATGTGAACTTTGTCCTATGTAAGGCCAGGTGTCCTCATTCCAGCCGGGAGAAAACTCGGCTGACTTCTGGGTATGCTATGTGTCTCACATCAGCCTGTATGAAAATGAACTTGTCTCCAGTAGCCACTGTCTCACAAGAATCTGGGCTGGAAAACCACACAACTCAACACGCTCTGTGTGCCCAAATCTTCAAGCATGGTCACCAGGAGGCTTCCCAAGGCACTGACTGCTTCATCACTTCAAAGATTTATCCCTCTTATATTCACCTTGAAATTCTAAATAGAGTGGGTAGAGCCTGGTAGTTGGGCTCTTGCTAGTGGCAGTGGAGTGGCAAGTGCACAGAGCTTGGAGCAAGGACTAGGCTAGCGCCAAATGCCCCTGACAAAGAGCCCTTCCCTCCCCACCCCAGGAGACCACACCTGCCTCCCTTCTCCCTCCTCACCCTTCATGTGAGATTGCTGCCCACTGGGAGAGGGGTCACTGTTTCCAAAGTATCAGTGAGAGCAAGTGGCCCTCCCTGAATCCTCATCCTTGGGTGGCCACCTCGCACACTGAGTCTGGCTGGACCTGTGTCCCACAGGATGCAGCAGGAGGGGTGCTGTGCAAGCTCCAGGCCTTGGATGCTTGGCACTTTTTGCCTCCACTTGCTGGCTGCCCCAAGCAGGGAAGCCTGAGCCAGCCTCCTTGAAGATGTGAGACCCAGGAGTTGCCACTGATTTAGAACATGAACAGATACCTAGGAGAGCCCTGCTGATACCACGACACCACATAGAATGGAGACTAGTGGATGAGCTGCTCAGAGATCTCAACCTCTACTGCAGGATTCTACCACCACGAATGGCTACCATTCCAAGCTACTAACTTCTGGTATGGGTTGTTATACACAACTTTGTCTGTGGTTCTGATATGACGCTGGGGTTAAAAAAAGGCTGGTGCACAGCAAATTAAGTTGTACACAGAAGAGCCAACTTTGAAGCAAGATATGAAAGGTTTAGCTGCTTGTAAAGTCGCTACTCTTTGTACCTCTGGCCTCTGTTAACAATGACCTAGAATCAAGGTTTCAGTTGGCCAGCACGTGGGAAAGCCTGTTGCTAGTCAGCTACACTTATGTGCTACTTGATTAGAAGAGGGATTCCCTTAGTTCTGAACAATAATTGCTAGAGAGAGAGAGAGAGAGAGAGAGAGAGAGAGAGACAGAGACAGAGACAGAGACAGAGACAGAGACAGACAGAGACAGAGAGATGTTGGCTCAGTCTTTGCAAAGTATCTTTGCCCAATTAGGTTTTCATATTTTCCTTCAACCTTTATAAATTGCCAAAATTAGGAAGATCTGTCTCAAAAGTATTTCTGCATTTGCAGAAAACCTATTTTCCAAGACACTGCCTGATATATATATATATATATATCCTGTATATTTAAAATACCTCTTGGCATTACCTCCAAAAGTAAAGACCTTGTCTTTTTTCCTATATCATAAGCACATAACTGGTCATAGTTATCTTCTTGCTAAAGCTGTAAGGAAGCTCAAAGACAAATGTAAAGACTAATCATAAGCATTCAATAGACATTGTTGAAGGTTGAAGGAAAATATGAAAACCTAATTGGGCAAAGATACTTTGCAAAGACTGAGCCATTGTCCCCCTATGCTAAGCGTTTGATTTTCAACGTCTGATTTAAATGACTAATTGTCTTCTACTTTTTTGCCCTATGTAAGCTGCCTTTAATTATTCTTATATAAATAATGTTTAATAAAAGTGTCACGGAAGGGCAGGACAGAAGCAAAATGGTGGCAAGAGGGGGAGCTTCAGCCTGGCTGTTTCAGTGTGATGAGAAAAGAGGAGGTACGGAGTCTGCTCTTTGTGATTGTGCCAGATTTAGCGTCAAGAAGGAGCTGTGACAGGCAGTGTCGACAAAGAAACACAATTTGCACCCTGCATGGGGCCTAGTGTCCTCCTGCTCCTGGAGCTCCTCCAGGCCTCTCCTGCTGCCCACAAATCCCTGCTCTGCTGACACTGAGAGACCTCTGCAAGGCGGTGCTCCCAGAAGCAGTAATGCTGAGACAACTTGCCCCTCAGTAGGGCGCAGGCCATGCTCCACATCCATAAGTCAGAGGACCCCTGGAGCCAGCTGAACGCAGGGTGGGGCTTGAGGAACATAGAGCCCTTCCCCCCACAGCCAAGCCCTGTACTGCTCCTCTGTGAAGCAGTAGCTCCACTGCCCAAGGGAGCAGCATCAAGCTAAACAGGAGGGGTTGGCAGGCGTGCTCTTAATCTGATTTAAACACTTAATGAGACGCTGATTTCCCGTATAAAGGAAACTAAAGGATTAGGAGTTGGTGCCTGAGGGGGCTCTGTGTTTTGGAAGGCAGCTGCATTTTGCAAAGCACCCTGCCCAGCCTCACTGTGGAAAGCCAGACCAGCAGTTTGCCTTTCCTTGATGGAGTGAAGAAGAAAGCTACGCACTTGTTCCTTTGTTCGTTCATTGAGTTATAAACACTGAGCTGTTACCGTGTACCAGGTACTGATCAGCAGCTGTGGCTATAACTGTAAACAAGACCCAAGTGTTTGTGTCCCCCTAACTTCATGTGCTGCTATCCTAACCTCCACTGTGAGCATCAGGGGGCAGGGCCTCTGGGAGATAATTAGGACTCAGTCTTATTTGTGCTGCTGTAACAGATCACACACACTGGGTAATTTCTAAACAACGGAGATGTGTGTCCATGTAATTCTAGAGTCTGGGGAGGCCAAGATCAAGGTGCCAGCATCTGGAGACTGGTGAGGACCTTCTTGCTGCTGTCCTCTCCTGGCAGGAAATGAAAGGGCAGGCTGATTGAATACTGTGTGAGTCCTCCTTTCTAAGGGCCTTGATCCCATTCACAAGAGAGCAACCCTCATGGCCTCATCCCCTCTGAAAGGCCTGGTTCTTGTGCTATCACATTAGCCACATCTGAATTTTGGAGGACACCTTCAAGCCGTGGAGGTCTTCATAAATAGGATTAAGACTCGTATAGAAGGATCCCAGAGAAAGGGCCCTCTTTTCACCATGTGAGGATTCAAGAAGAAATGGATCATCTGCAACCTAGAAGAGGGCCCTCACCAGAGCCCACCCATGCTAACACCTTGATCTCAGATTTCTGGCTCCAGAACGGTGAGAAACGAGTGTGTCTGTTGGTTATAAGCCACCCAGCCTACAGTATTCTGCTACAGTGGCCCAACTGACTATGACACAGTCCTCAGGGAAATTTTCTTCTAGATGTTTAGAAAAACATGTTGTAGAAGAGGGAGAGCAAATAGGAAGTACATGGCATCCTCATCTACAGGAATAATCCTCCATCAATTAGGGGTAGAAGTTGGTGGGAGAACACCCTGTGCCAGGGTCGAATTTCATCCTCCAAAATACATATGTGGAACTCCTAATTCCAATATTACAGAATGTTATCTACTGGAAATATTTGTAGACCTAATTAGTCAACATGAGATGTGTGAGGCAGTGGTGGGATGCTCCAAAATAACTAGTGTTCCACCTACAAGGGAGAGCTGGATACTGATATGCACAGAGAGAGGACACCATGTAAAGATGAAGGCTGA